GTAATAATAATTTTAAACATTTTCATTGTATTATTCACCAGCAAGTACTGTGCTACAAAGTTTTAAATATCGGACATGTTTTAAAAATACCAAAATTGTAAATTATATTCGAGCATGTGGACTTAATCATCGTCAATTTGCTTCATTTCTGGAAGATATAGAATGTGAATACACCGATTTACCATATTATATGGAAGTTCGATGGCTTTCGAGTCATAAAGTGTTAAAACGATTCTTCAAATTGCTGGATGAAATCATAATTTTCTCGAAAACAAAAAATTATGAATGTGCTAAATTAAAAGATGGACAATGGATAAAGGACCTGGCTTTCTCAGTTGATATAACAAGTCATCTTAATCAACTTAATCTTAAGCTTCAAGGCAAAAATCATGTTGTTACAATGCTATTTGATAATATTAACGCTTTCAAACAAAAATTATTACTACAAATTATTATGTACAAAAACAGATAGAAAAAGAAAACTTGTCTCACTTTGAAAGCTGTCAATATCTATTGCTTAAATCATCTAAATTAAAATTTACAGAATATGCTCACCAAATTAAATTGTTAGAAACGGAATTCGATCGAAGATTTTCTGATTTTAAAAGCTGTGAATTACAATTTTGTCTTTTTACTTCACCTCTATCTATCGATATTAAAATTGTTGATGAAAACTTACAAATGGAATTAATTGAAATCCAATATGATAATTTGCTGAAGCAAAAATATATGGAAGTTGGAATTCTAGATTTTTATACATATTTATTTGTAGATCGGTTTCCTAAAATGTTATCATTTGTTACGCATATACTGGCTATGTTCGGAAGCACTTATTTATGCGAGCAACTATTTTCTTTAATGAAAAATAACAAAAATTCAGAAAGGTCAAGATTAACCGATCAACATTTATCATCAATTTTAAAAATTGCATCAGCTCAATATATTCAACCAAATTTTGATGACTTGCTTTGCCAAAATCGTTGTCAAATATCTTCTAAAAAGTAATATTAAACTGTAATTTTGTTTATTTCTTATAACTTTTATTTTTGTTTTTAGTTATCAAGACAAAAATCAAGAAAGTGCAGAAAGCCAAACTAAGCTGTAAGAAGGCGCGTATTTTGAAGCTTCGCGATGGAAATCTAAAGAAGGATTTACGTCGCCCCACCCTGAAATATGCCAACGTTACCGAATGCTGCAGCTCCCTTTCCAAGGGTGGAAATAAGAAAAACAGAGTTCTCATCATGGGTAACAATAAAAACGGAGAAGGATTAGTGCCAACATTTATCATGGAGTGGCGCAAGAGTCAAGCCTTCAAATCAGCCATTCGCATGATGAAGAAGATCGACTGCAATGATCCTAAAATAATATCCGAAACTATGTTGGCCGATGGGATACTGTCTTNGCTTAAGGGCTAAAAGCAATAAATTATTCAATTTGTAAGGTGCCAACATTTAAGGGCAATAAGTTAATTGCATTTCAGGAAAAGTCTAGGGACTGGGTGTATGTGGGTGGCAGCGGCAGAGGCAAAGATGACAAATGTCTTACAATAACCATTTATTTTAGCATAAAATTAACTTGCATATCAATAACACAAGATGCGATCTAGATTGACTTGGCATGAACATTCCAGCATCAGACGTCAAACACAGCATGACTCTTAAGGTGACCCCGGGAATTGTTCCAATGAATAAATGGAGAGACTCCGGTGGCGATACAGAAGGATGGTCTAGTCTTGAGCTTCTTGCGAAAACACTTGGTCTCCTTCGTTTCCTTGTTTTTGGAAATATTATGTATATTTTTTTTTTTTTTCAAACTTCTTCCTTTTTGATTGGTCCTTTCTCCCTGATCCCGATTGGTCATTCTTCTGTCTCCAGGCGAAACTGATTCGGGTTGCAGGAAAGATCTGAGAGGTGTTGATGGAGCTCTGGAGTTGGCACTTGTATTTTACTCCATTATTGTCTTCCTCCAACATTTTGAATTTAACCACTTTGCCAGATGTTTTTGCAGCTGTTTCCCCCCAAATGGTTTAGAGCCTACATGACTCAACAGATGTTCTTTTGGTCATTAGTTCTCCCATTTTTTCTCGATTGTTTACCTCTTGATTCTTGTTTGATAAGCAAAAGCCCCTCTGACTCAGTCGACATTCCTCCGTCATTTAACACCGTGTTGCGTTTGTTTTAGAACAAATGTTTTCCTTTCTGTGGAGTCTACCACACTGACACATGCTCTTGATCCAATTTTTCCTCCGAAATTTCTCGACTTCTGAATTTTATAATTGATCACAATTTTGGCTTGATTTTAGGAACATTGCATATTGGTTAACTTATGATGATGATATTCGTTCAGCTTGTTGCACCATTTGCCAAACCTCATTTAGCGTTAAATATGATGGAATTATAGCATTTATGTGGCCTGCTGATTGTGAGAAGCATTAAAAAAAGAAATGAATCTTTTCATTACCTTCCCCCCTGTTGTCATGTCGGCCAATGAGTTTTCAAAGATGGCAACTTTAGATGACACAATGGGATAGTTTATTTTTTTGACTAAAAGGAAATTTAGTTGTAATTTTTTTGGGGGATAGTATTGCAATACAGTAGAGCCTCGAAAACTCGGCACTCGATAACCCGGTACTCCGGATAACTCGACCACACCCTGGCAGGGCAAAAAAAATCCTTAGTTAATTAATTTTCATTATAGACAGCTTTATGCCTCATAAAGTATTTTTCTGAGGTCTGTCTTATCAGATAAATTACTGTACACAGTGTATTCATTAATTTTCATTTTCATGTAGTAAAGGCTCTATGCCTTCATAAAGGACGTACTTTTCCTTTGTTTAAGGGTATTTGGG